AATAGGACATGAGACCTAAAAACACTATTTGGAAATTAAATTCTACTACGGCGGTTAGCTTCGAAAGTGTTTGAAATATTCTACATATTATGACGCAATAGCGAATATAAATTTTGTAACACAGTAAAATCATTCAATCTCTACTTTAATTTTATTTATATAACACACAATACTATTAACGAAAATTTGTACCGGGTTTAGGGCAAATTATGAGCACATTTTTATTTTTCATTGTGAATTACAAACTTACTTGTAACGTGTTTGCGAGAGCAACCCATTTTTAAGCAAAGGTCCTTCCTGTAAATAGAAAATATTATAATTTTTAAGTGTTCTAAGAATCGAAAATAAAAAATGTGGTTTAAAAAATAATTAGAAATACAATTACAAGTTTTACTTACAATCTCAAAACTTGAAAACTTTTCAGGCAGATGATTAGTGGCCTGACGCAATAAATTAGTACGAGGTAAGAGTTTCGACAATCTCAACATGTTTTTTTGTGTTTTGGTAATATATTTTATATTTTATTAGCTTTGCGTCCAATAGACAAATTACACTTTTATTAAACCAGCTATCGGCTTTTAATGAAAAATCTGCACGTTTTTCTGCTCCAACTAATTATAACGTAGCATGAGCAAATTGGAACGGGTATAATGAAACAGGTTTCACAAGCTGATATAGTAAAAAAATTTTGTATGTAGATAAGCATAAGGTGTCTATGTTTTATAATGTCAAATATCAAAATATATTAATTAATATAAATCCGACATAAAAATGCTCATATTACTGATGAAATTTGTTTGTAATTATATTTACAGTTAAATATTTTTTAAAAGATGTATCATATGGTAGCTGTCAGTTCTAATTTCTGTTATATATCACTATTTAAACAAAACTTAAGTTTTTTGCTTGCTAATTCCCTTTAGAGGTCATGATTGCAGTCACAGTCACTATTCATTGAAGTGAAATGAAATAAGCAGTCAAAAGGCCTTTTCTTTTGTAAGCATATCACAAAAAAAACAACGGCTTATTTTAAAAATGACATATGAAACAACACTGCTTATTAAGTCCAACGTTCGTGAAATCACTTAATTAATGGTATGGTTGCCAAGACTAAAAATTCGTCTATTGCGAACAATTATTGGAAGTACATACGAAATTTTCAGTTAATTGTCAAGGAATGATTTCGTTAATTCTTCGTATTTTGTGTCGTCATTGTTCGTAACAAATACGTTACTTTTTCTATTTATTATTTTACTAATAAGAAGCATGAAAATTCATATTTTATTCACAATCATGTACAAAAAAATATTAGGCGGCGGTGTGGCAAAAAATGCATGCTGGTTTATATTCGCTAATCTTGCACATCTACACATAAATTAAGAAAACAATATTTTGTATAAAAATAAAACATTGAAATTTTTTATTTTTTCGCAATTTTCAAAATGATGACATGCTTGAATTTTTGTTTACATATGATTTTTGACATATAATTGCAATATTCGTTGAAATTTCCAATGAAGGTTCACAATAGTTGGCTTATTGCGTTGGTAACACTTTCTTCTTTACTGGCCGAAGTGTGCAACGTGCTGCTTTTTGCCACACTTGCGAGCCACCGAAAACAGTTATTCTTACCAATAATTGCAAAAAATTATTAATCCTTTTCGAAATTTAAATTTTATTACGTGTTTTGTGAACTATTTAATCCAACCTACAAATCAAAAGTTTGACTGACACAATTTATTTTGTTTATAATTTTCACAATATATGTATTAAGCCGCTCCGAAGTGTGGCAAAAAAAGAACAAGTGGCTTGATTAAAATCTCCAAAACATACACAAAACCAGTGTTCGTGTTCTTAATGCACAAGATATGGTCACGCACAAAGTATCAGGCTATGCCACACCAATACCATGATACGTGGTACTATATCACATCCTTCCAGAGGTGAACCTATTTTGATGTTGATAATTTATTGACATAACAGAATACCATGCATCTAGAGAGGTAAATTTAATAAAATCCGTAATCTCCGGTGTTATTTATTCGATAAATGAAATAAATGGCACTTCGTTAGTGTGTCTCTGAGACCTTCGGGTAACTGGCGGCTTCCAGTTGTAAGATAGTTTTGTCCGGGTACAGCAGATCTCCGCCCGGATCGACACTAAACCAAAATAAAATAAATACTAACATTACAAAAACAAGCACGTTAAAGCCAAGCGCTTTGAGAACTACAGTTTCCAAGATACCCACCTCAACTTCTGGCGATAATAATAGGGTACCTTTCAATAAAACAACGATCTCTATGCGTTCTGGCCCTCCGTGAAGACGGGCATTTCTTCGAGAGATATAATAATAGTTCGGTTACATCCAAAACAGGTCCTCAATACTCCAAAGGAGGAGAAAAAAGAACCTGTATCGAAGCGTCAGTGCTCATTAAATGAGTTAACTTCAAAACTTGATGCCAAAAAGGTAAAGTTCCGTGGCGATGCCATCACTACTAAGTCTGACTAAATCTGAACTCAAGCTTATAGATTTGTACACTGAAGTCCTTAAAAAATGTCCATGTACGATTCCCTAATATCGCGACAGCGGATGACCATGTGAATCTCGTTGCTTGCGCAGATCAACTTTCTGTTGATCTATTTCGCAGTGCCATCTTCAGAAAGGGTGAGGTTTGGCCAGATGCAAAACTCAAAGTCGTTGCTAAAGTGCAAATTCCGAATCGGCCTGGAGCGCGTTCCTGGATAACGTTCTAGATGTTAACTGATTCGCACATCTGATTGCATGCCTTTGCAAGTTGCTCTAAAAATTCTGTGTTTGCGTTTTTATAAAATTCGTATGGGATTCTATCTAATCCTGGCGCTTTCCCGTCTTTCGCTTTTTTTACGGTCTGCAATATATCACCCACCGTTATAGGTTTATCTACCTCGTAGATTTGTATAAAGTTTGGAGCATACTGCACATCTTTCGCCGTTTGTGTGTGATTAAGAAGATTTTCAAAGTGTGTCTTAAACTCGTTTGGCGCAATTCGTAGATCATTTATTGAAGGCCTATTTCTTAGCTGTTTAACCAGTTTGTACCATTCTTTGCCACTTTTAATCGTATCTATGCGTGTCTCTAGATTTCTATAATATTCAGCTTTACTTTTGCTTTACTTTTCCCCTTTTAAATATTTTACTCTAGTAGTGCTGTTTTTTGTTCTTCTATATTTTCTCAACAAATGTTTAACCTTTTATTTCCCGATAAAGCATCGAAAGTTATAACATTTTGATTTTTTCACAGAGAATCCCTTACATTTTCGTAATTTGGGAGTAGGTTTGAGTACAACTTCAGTTAAGTCTGTTAAGTCCAGATGTGTTTTATTTTGCAGCTTCGTCCTTACATTTTTTTTTAGTTTTTTGCTATATTGTACTCTCTTCGCATCTTTCCATTTGAGAAGCAGTTATCGTTCTGCATTTTAATGTGCTTCACATTGCTATTTGAACTCTACCACCAAATGATCAGACCATGCTTTTAATTTTACCGTAAAGCTTTCTATATATGTTAATATTTCTTGGGAGAGAGTGCATATGTCATTAACAGTAGAACTGTTACTACTTATATATGTTGCGTTACCTTTTTTAACTCCTGCCGTTCTCGCATTGAGCACTATTTGTCAATAATCACACCACAGTTCAATGAACTTTTTTCCTCTGGTATTAACGACTTTTGATTGACTGAGCTTAACGCCTGATTTAAATTCATTTCTCAATATTCTTCTCAATATTTTGTTATATATATCCTAATATGGCGTTTACACTGGCCGAAACTGGCTCATTTTGAACGATCCATTTGAAAGTGTTTACATTCGTTGTAATTCATTTGTTCTCATTTCAAACAGCTGATTTTTCAGCTTGCCTGTTAATGTGATTTTTGCCTGTGCCAAAAAAATGTTGTATGAAAGTTTAATAAACCTTCAAATCTTAAATTATGTACTGAAAACATATTTTTAACTTCGATTAAACACTTTTTGGGAAGTAGAAGATCTAAAAAGAAGTGCGTCGTTTTGAAGAAAATGCAACCACCAAACATTTCTTTACCTTATATTGTAAATATGTCAAAAACAGCTTTATCAAACTGTCGAAATGCCATGAAGACTTTTTATTTAGGGTATATTCAGTGTATTCATTTGCATTTCGAACATATTTGGAACGCATCTTGATTTCGCGCTTGAAATTTTGTTTTTCTCCACCAAATTATTACCCAGTTGTTCGAAATTATCTTCCTAATCGTTACAATTTAGATATAGCGGAACTATTTTAAGATTTATATATTTTGTTTTTATGTTGATAATAATAATAATTATTTTATTGATATTGCTGAATATTGATTGCATTTCCACATAGCGGAAATAATCAGTAGAATATGTCTTAATGAATTTATTTTATTAATAATATTTTTCCAATAGTTAATTATAAAATTATAAATAAATACTATATTAATTATTTTACCATATAATACATATCATCAATAATATCTTATATATTGATCAATAATTAGTAGAAAGTATTTTATTAATAATAAATATTGAAAAAAAAATATTTTTTTAGTAATAGTAAAATATCGAATAAATTAAGGTAAGGTAAATTGAAATTTATTAGGGATTTTTTACACTCTTATGTGAATATTTATTTATTTATTTATTGCACTTATTTATTATTTTGGTTAAAAGTTTTCAAATTTATTTATTTATTTATTGAACATCTTATAAAGGATGTTCACAATGGTGACACTTAATGAACCAAATTTTTATCTAATTTACACTACTCGAAATTCTGGTAAAAACTAAAATTCGCTGCGATATCAATATAATTTACTATTTTTCTCAATTTACCATCATTTTACTCGAACTCGCACACGACCTAGAGTGGTAAATATACACGTGTCATCAAGCGTGGTTTGACAGCGCGCGTGCTTGTGTCAACTGCAGTTACCATAGATGTTGACAGTTGAACGTTGTGTACTTGCATAATACGAACAGCCTGCTAAATATGTAAACTGAATATCTGTCAAGTTTTGTAATGTTTAGTTTAAGGTTATAAATTTATTTTATACAACTTGTTTTAACATGGTTGAAAACTCGGACTCAGACAATGAAATTAGTGAAGACTATTACACATTTCTTAACCTACCAAAAGAAGTTAGTTTTGTGATAAATATTATCTATTGCTATTCCCAGTTCTTCAGTCTACTTTACTATAATTTCAGGCAACATCGGAGCAGATTAATTCTGCTTACCGTAGGTTAAGTAGAATATATCATCCTGATAAACACATTGATCCTGAAAAAAAAAGACATGCGGAGCTATTATTCAATAGAACTAAGCGTGCTTATGAAGTGCTTTCCGATCCGCATAAAAGAGCAATATATGATTCTATTGGAGAGAAAGGCTTAAGAACAGATGGATGGGAAATTGTACATCGAACAAAAACTCCATCCGAAATTCGGGAAGAATATGAACGCTTAGCACGAGCAGCAGAAGAACATAAATTGCAACAGCGAACCAATCCACGGGGAAATGTCACTATTGCGGTAAATGCAACAGAAATATTTGCACCATATGATGAAACAGAGCTTCCCCGTATAGAAGTTTCTTCAATGAGTATTTCGCAGTCGATTGAAGCTCCCATAACACGTAAAGATACAGTTACCTTAGGCGGAACTTTAAATTCATCAAATGGCAATGGTAGTGGAAATTTCGTTGTGTGTGGTAGAAGATTACTTAATAAAGGATGGTTACAATTGGATTTGGGAGTGGGCAATGGACCTTTGTTGTGTGTTAAAGGTTTTAGAGATGAATATAAACATTATATCGTTATGTAATTATTATCTTATACAGGTGGAAGAACGCTTAACTCAACGTTCTCGGTAAATGGAGGCACCTCATTAAACTTTCGT